GAATCGCAATCAAGGAATGTCGGTCGGCCGCAGCCTCCACCTAAGCCTTCTATCAAACCGAAACCAGTCTCCCTACGGTCACCCCATCCCACTTCCTCCCCATCAGGTGTGTCACCACACCCGCCGGAAGGTTCGGGCACGCCGCGAACCAAGCCGGCATCTCGTCCACGGATTACACCCACCTCGTCAACCGATGGCAGGCTGGTCCCTGGGTTGGATCGCCTGACGCTCTCACCCAGCAGCGCGAAGGTCGCTGCTCAGTCATCAGGGGGCATGAATCGCACGGTAACGCCTCCTTCCAGCGACCCTGAATCATCCGGGCCCAAGTCTACGGATCCTGACGAGGAAGACCTCGAGGAAGAAGACGAAGAGGATACCATCATGAATGTGATGAATAAGCTCCCCAAAGGCGTCGATGCGACGGCTGCGCGCCAAATATTGAACGACATCGTTGTCCGCGGCGACGAAGTCTACTGGGACGATATTGCCGGTCTGGACGGAGCCAAGAAGGCTCTCAAAGAAGCCGTGGTTTACCCTTTCCTCCGGCCCGACCTCTTCTCGGGTCTCCGCGAGCCGGCGCGCGGCATGCTCCTCTTCGGACCGCCAGGCACGGGCAAGACGATGCTTGCCCGCGCGGTGGCCACCGAATCCCGATCGACCTTCTTCTCCGTCTCGGCCTCCACGCTCACCTCGAAGTGGCACGGCGAGAGTGAGAAGCTCGTGCGCGCGCTGTTCGGCTTGGCCAAAGCTCTGGCCCCGTCCATCATCTTTGTCGACGAGATCGACTCCCTGCTCTCCGCGCGCTCCTCGGGCACCGAGAACGAAGCCTCCCGCCGCTCCAAGACCGAGTTCCTCATCCAATGGTCCGACCTCCAACGCGCCGCCGCCGGCCGCGAACAGAAGGACAAGAAAATCGGCGACGCCAGCCGCGTCCTCGTCCTCGCCGCCACGAACATGCCCTGGGACATCGACGAGGCGGCCCGTCGCCGCTTCGTCCGGCGACAATACATCCCACTCCCCGAACAACACGTCCGCGAACAGCAACTCCGTAAACTGCTCAGTCATCAGAACCACGAGTTGACGGATGAGGACATCGAGGTATTAGTCCAGGTTACGGATGGTGAGTTTCGCCTACGTTTCTTTTTGATTCTCGTTTAAAATAACTAAGACATCTATCACAATTCAGGCTTCTCCGGCTCCGACATGACCGCCTTGGCCAAAGACGCCGCCATGGGCCCGCTCCGCAACCTCGGAGAAGCATTGCTGCACACCCCGATGGACCAGATTCGACCGATCCGGTTCCAGGATTTCGAGGCGAGCTTGCTCTCCATCCGACCTAGTGTCAGTAAGGAAGGGTTACAGGAGTATGAGGAGTGGGCGAGACAGTTTGGTGAACGGGGGGGATAGACAAAGAATATTCGGCATATTGACCTTCTTCTTTGGCCCCTGTCTTCTTAACTCCTTCTTCCCTGTTCCTGGTTTCATTGTCATGGTATTCTGTTGGCTTGGATGTTTTGTGGAGGGAGTCAATATTGCGATCTGCTTATGGCTATACTGTACACTTGGTTCTGGGGTCCGGGGTATCGGGTATGCGATGGGCGGTCAGGTTAGGGTTGGGCACTCCGGAGTGTTTTGCTTTTCTCTCTTTCGGACAGGACAACTTGAGTACAGGCGTTCTTGTGGGGGTGGGGTTTGCTAGGCTCTGGGAGAAAATGGCGGGGAGTTGGATTTGTTTTAAGATGGACGGCCGCGGGCAAAGGCTTTTTTTTTTTGGTGTGTTTCTTCGAGGTTCACTATCACGGGAGGATGATTTCTGTACTCTGTAACTGTAACTGTGCGGAGCAAAAAGGGGGG